CCTGTTTCATTGGAAACCTCATTTTCTGGGCACTGGACACAATCAAAGCAGCAGTCTGCTGTTTCTTTCTGATGAATTTTCCTGAATCCAGTAGTGCATGTCACACTACACATGGAGGAGGGAACCTGAGGCAATATATATTATATATAGTGTTTGTGTGTGTGTGTGTGTGTAGTTCATGTATACATCATGTGTATAATGACCCATAGATTGCTATAAGGGACATTAAAGTATATGGCTATAAATATTCCTCTGATAACCAGTATTACTTAAAAATTTCAGGGACACTTTTATTTTGTATTACCCTGCAATGCACTGAATGTCACAATATATTTATATATCATGTAATATTATATATGTAACATTCAAGTTGTAGCAATTTAAAATTTTTCCTTCCTAAACTGATTAATTCAAAAAGAATGTTTATTTAGCAACAGTTTCTCTATAATGATTTATAAATAAAAAAATAAGAACACTGGGTTGTATGGAGAGAGAAGGTAGGTAAATCAAGGATGAGTTGTTTGATGAGTATGAACAAAATATGTTATATAAGACTCATGAAATTAATGAAGTTTCCCTAAGTTTAAAAGAAAAGCTTGAACCCCCAACCCATCGACCCCCTACTTCTATGAGGGAGCTCTCCTACCCACCCAGCCACTCCTGACTCACCAACCTGGCCTTTCCCTCTGCTGGGGAACCAAGTCTTCATAGGAACAAGGGCCTCCCCTCCTACTGATGCCAGATAAGGGAATCTTCCACAGAGAAGGGAAAACTGGGAATGCTGGTAATATTTAAAATGTATATAAAATAAATAAATAAATAAAATAACCAAATATATATATATATATATATATATATATATATATATATATGAAACCCCTTGAATCTGGAGAAAGATTTCGGTTAATAAACATGTGCTGTACTTAGACTATAAATATGTTCACATAAAATCAGAAAATTCTGTGATTTATTTATAGTTACAAAATTTTAATTATATATAAGTATTACTATACATTTAATAAATATATTCCTGTGTCATGTGGTTGAATAGGCATGTGGGTGCAACTGAACATGGAATTCAGAGCCTTTGATCCTGGTGACCAGATTTACATGAAATTGAGAGCTATCAAATTTTGGTAATTGGAGCTGAGGATGGTCTTTTGCAAGAGTAGGAATTGGTCTTAACCAGAGAGCTCTTACTTCAGTGCCCCATATTTTAAAATTTAGATATCCTGAAAACAATACAAATTGTGGTATACCCACTGATGTTCCTCCTGAGGCCCACTCCAAGTCTTCAGATATGTGAAGTTGTTGACTCTGAGGAAAACAAGGGAAATAGCTTCCTATTTTCACTTTTAATCCAAGGCCTTGTGGAAAATTCCAAATGATGAAAATGTCATACTCTGCACAATGATTTTCTCTATCGTTCATGTTCACCAGTTCTCCAACAGGGTTAGTAAATATCCTGGTTTTCAGCATGGAAGCCACCTAAAAGAGATGCATCATTAGATGCTTACATATGCATATCAATAAAGAGAATGCCAAATTGAGAATGTCACCTAATTTTTTAAAGACTTTCAGAAAAGATGGCTGTATTAACATAATCATGTGTAGGAAAATGCAATATACCTTATGGATAATTAAAAATTAATATACTTAATACTAATGTTCAATGATAAAACATGCTAGAAAAATTATTACCAGATATCAAGTAACATGGTATGTGTGTTTGTGTATGTGTGTAGTGTGCACGTTTGTCAAAAATACTTTGTAAAAAAAAGGAAGCTATGTATGTGTGAATGAAGGGGAAGTCTGAATGTCTCCTAGTTGTGAAAATTAAGAATGGTTCTGGGTCTTTCATGTATATACAGTAAACATGTATGAAAAAACACAAAGTTAATAAAATGTGCAGTCTTAATCATTTATGGTTTTGTAATTAATTGTTAATTTGGATGAATAACTATTAATCCCAGCTCGTGTACCTATTATTTATTTATTTATTTATTTATTTATTTATTTATTTTGGTTTTTCGAGACTGGGTTTCTCTGTGTAGCCCAGGCTGTCCTGGAACTCACTCTATAGACAAAGTTGTCCTCGAGCTCAGAAATCCGACTACCTCTGCCTCCCAAGTGCTGGGATTAAAGGCGTGCACCACCACTGCCCAGCTCATATACTTATTCTTGAGAAATTATTCTCTAGAAAAATATTCTATTCTAGTCATCACTTAAGGCTTTTATGATAAGACTCTTGGCTCCTATTTTAAATTTTGAATTCATTTGGTGAAATGTTGAGACACGTTTTCAGAAAACTCCCTGATATTCATAAAAATGTATTTTTCCATTTAAATGTTATCATTGTGTATGCTATTTACTCATGTAAAAGATTCATTAGGGAGTCTTGCAATGTAGAAATCTTTCCACTGAGAGAATACTCTCTAACAAATGAACAGTTGTTTCTCTGGGTCCATTTAAAGTATCACATTGATTTATCTAAACATAATGAAATATAAGAAACTTTACCTGCAGACAGTCAATGAATACCTTGGGTTCTGCCATTTTCTGAGACTCTACTTGTTGACGAATGAGTTCATGGTAGGTGTGGGCCACAGCATAAACAGCATTATACAAATTGTAACCTTCTTCACTCAGGACCAGGTCATATTTGTGCAGTGCCAACCATTCTAATGTGTTGATGGATGTAAAGGGAACCATTTTATTGCTGTTCTTATAGATTGAACAATTAAAATAATTCCATCCCAGGACAGAGTCAGAAATGGTTAGTGGATGTTTGTCAGTGTTCATTGTTTGCATAAAATTCCTAAATTTAGCAATCTCACCTTTGTGATGTGCAAAAGTGACAGTCCCATGGAAGAAATCGAGGGTGAAATCTTTTACATTTGTGATAACATCCCATTGTGAGGTTGTGATCCAGATTCTCTGTGCACCTAAATATCTCCATTTTCTAAAGCTGACTTCTAGGGTAGAGTTCATCTCACCATAAATGATAACTACCCTTGCTGTTGATGTCATAATTTGTCTATCATATATCTTAGCATTTGTCATGTATATTTGCATGGTTTCTGAGATCATATTCACAAAAGCTAAACAGATCTCATATATTTGCATTTCATCTCTCAAGTCTGAGAGAAACTGAATGCCCTGGTCATCATCTGAGATGACCAGTCCAATCCAAGTCCATCTAAAATGAAGCATCAAGGAGACCATGCCATGGGACAAATGTGTGTACTTGGTGGCTACCTGATAGACATAGGGAAATTGGTCATGGTCACTCAGGTTAGGATTAAATGGCCCAAAGAAAACCTAAAGAATGCAGAAGAGAAGAGGAAACATCCACATGAGGAATATGATTGTTAGGATATTTGAACTTACATACAGGTAATGTTACTCACCTTCAGAACTCCTGTTAAGGACAATAAAATTATACTATAAATATCATGTATTATTCTTATTAGATTCTAGACTATATCTGACAAGTCTGAATGTCCAAGAAAACAGTTTTCCCTGTTTGCCCAGATTTAATTATTTAGTTCATAATATCTCTATATCTATGTACCTATGTATGTATGTATGTATGTATGTATGTATGTATGTATGTATATAAGTATCTATCTATCTATCTATCTATCTATCTATCTATCTATCTATCTATCTCTCCACAATATGTGTGTGTATGTGTGTAGCAGCACACACATAAATGCATGCCCTCCAAGTTTTGTTGTAGGCACATGCAAATGAAATTTAAAAGTTAATTCTTCCAGTGTCACATATTCTTACCTTTGGTGTCCTAGAATTAATTGCTATTTTGAAGGATGTTTTCTGTGATGGTCCTGTAAGGTCTACATCACAAATTGGCTCTAATTCACAGATATAATTAGCAAAAAACAAACTATTGTTTTGTTGTGGATATATTTCATCCAGAACTCCCAATCTATCATCACATAGGCCAACAATGAAGGTGAATAACAAAGACATGTTGGGTAAAAGATAAGGATTCTTGTTGATCTCCTCAGTAGCAAAAACCATTATCAGAAAAAACTCATATTTTCTTGCTGATAGTCTAGAACAAGGCATAGTGATGATTAAGGGAGATGTTTGAAACATAAACTTTCAGTTGCAGTAACGTAGGTAATGTGAGACATGCTGAATTTCTGTCTAAACATCTTGAAATAAGCCTCATCAATCAGAGATCTTTAGAGTGCCATACAATTTAAGAATTCATAGATGTAGGGCACTATGGTATGATAAATTTTGTGTTTGCGAAAATCGATAAAGATTATTTTATCTCTGTCATCCTTGAACTAGATTACAGTCCTGTTGAATAAGACTGCTATAAAATAACTTTGGAGTTGTAATTCCACTGAAAAATAAAAAAGCATGGCTTAAACCACATATGAAATATATAACACATTCTCCTTAAAATTTTTTATTATTTACATGCAATTTATACATCAAATATTAATAATATTGAGTATTTTGAGAATCAAGTAATGTATCAAAAATTTGTTCGACTTTTATATTCATATCCTTTTGTAACCTAAAAAATATCATTAATGCATATTTAATAATACCCATAACTGAGAATCCTATATCTAACATCGAGTACTAAATTGTTTCAAAGCATACAAAATATTCTTTGGGAATTTCATAAAATAGCATAAAATATTAAAGAGGAATCATTAAAATTATATTCAAAAGCCCTTCTATGATATACTGTGAGAGTATTCAAAACACATTATATATCTGTGTACATTGTCTAAGAATCAGTTTACTTGAAATGATTATCAGTGTTTCTAGGAAAGAAATTATTTTATCAGTAAGAATACTTCACAGATTTCAAAATAGCAAAAACTCTTTGAAGTTAAACATTAAAACAATGCTAGTTTCATGTACAATGAGAAAAATTATCAATAATATTTCCATTATGTTTGTAGAACATGATGTTAATATTTTCAACTGTAAATATCAACAAACAGGATAATTATTTTAAGATATATTTCATTTAAATTGATTTATCCATTTCAAAATATACAATAGAATACAATACAATATACCAGATAACCAGAATATTAACCGTTATGTTCTATTAAATATCAATTTAATGTTACCTTTTAGTGTGTTATTACTATGTCAATTTTGTAAAAAAGGTATCAGATTTCTCCTAACTCCTCAGTCTTTGTAATTCTTTGAGAACCTTTAAGCGATATCTGAACACAGAAATCTTCTCTCCATATGAAATGTGTTCATCTGGCCTGCACAGTTGGCGGATTATCAACTACTATTAACGATTCCCTCTCATCAGAAGTAAAAACGGTGAACATCCCCTTTTGATGAAATTGCATTTTTCAATTGGAGTGTTTGGAGCTAAGTTTTTCTTTTGAAACCTGAAAAGTGCATTGGCCCAGTTCATATGTTTGTAATTTTAAACCTAATTATGGCTTAAAAAAGTGTCACCAATGAGAATTTCCACTATTTTTCTAATGAGGTGTAGGATAGTACAGAATGCATCAGAAATGAAATTCCTAGTGACCTAACACAGAAGAATAAAATGTGAAGCCACCATCACTATCAAAGTGTACACAGTGTACTGTGGCTAACAATTGGGAAATATATTCTTTAAATCCCAAAGACATGAACACCGAATAAGAGATGGAATGAAGAGTCAAAGACAGAAAACCACAGGAAACCTCGGTTCACAGAAAAAAAAAAGTAGTCCCAGGCATATTGATTAGCTAAAATGTGAGTGATTTCAACACTCCTTCCCTCATGATCAGCAGGCACCAATGATAACATCTCACACTTGGGATCTCAGAACTATGTAGCCACATTAAGAGCAGGTTCTTATCCACAAGAAATACATTTCTTCTTCTAGGTTTTCTCTAATGTTATATTTATTTGATAATTAATAGATATATTGACCAGATACTGATAGTAAGCCTAATATATGACTGAGCATTTGCATAATTGGACCAAAAGATTATTCTGGTAACAAAATATGAAGCCTGGCAGTCTTTTTCCACATTCAGTGTCAACTCCACAATGGCAGGAGGGACTCATTTAAAGACTATTTTAAAAAGCAAAGTATATATGTACTGTTATATTACATTATATCACAAGTTATATCACAAGCTTATAGATAATGTTATTCATGTAATCTGGTACAGTAGACCCACACATACACCAATATTTCAATGTCTGAATGTATGCCCAACTTTTGGAGACCAAAATTT